ATTGTGACACTGTCTTCGAACAATAGAGAAAATTTTTGGGAAAGATCAAGAAAAGAAGGAAAGATCAAATGGTTTCGAGCGGGATCTTCTTAAGAATGAGATTTTGAATATCTCTACAGAGAATTTCCATTTCAAGGGTGAAGATGACAAAGTGCATCGGAAGTTAGATTGTTTGAATAGTGCTTGACAAAGTGCATCGGAAGTTAGACTATTTGAATAGTGTTTATTATATCGCTGGTCAAAACAATCGGCGTTTAGAAAATTTCGATCGGAATTTGTGGAAGAATGCAATCGACACACCGATATGATATCTGCCTGGATTTTCGCAGAATACAGAAATGCTCAGTTCATGTTTTTGATTGCTTTTAGCAAATAATCATACGTCGAAAAAAATGTCATCGACGAAGATAATTTGTTTTATCAGAAATATCGTTATTCAAATAATTTTTCTTTAAATTTTATTTAATCATCATATTAGTTCATTATTTTGATAGTATTGTACGTCTTGATTTTCTGTTTTATAAGTTTTATAAATTATTCCGATCGAAACTATATGTAAACTATATGTAAATTATACGTACTGTTATAAAAATTATCCTAAAATGTATATCTGAAAGTGAAGAAGAATGATAGATTGAACTCAGAAAAAAAGCAAAAAGAAATACAGTACGTTTCGAAGAATAAAATAAAATTTTGCTCGCCATTCGTTCATTCGGTGTCGTGTAACAAGAGAAGACGATCCCGCAGTTTGACTTCGCGATTGCTCTCAAGTCTGATAAAATGGAGCTCCCGTCCAAGAAGAGACGTTTCTGGCAGCCTTGGCTTAATGTCAGTAGCTTTCGAATGTCTCGCAAATCGAAAGGTAATGTTGTCAGAAATTTCATAGAATACAGAAATCGAATGAAAGCCGAACGTTTAAAAATCACACAAAAATGAATGGGAAAAATTCCATTGTGAAAAATATATTTCTGGAAAACTTAAGACTAGAATTTTTAGTGAATGAATTCGAGATATTTCTTTGTATTTCACGCCTATCAGATCTGTCTGACAAAAATTGAATATGTAACATTACTTTACGTGAAATTTCGATTTTTTTTCTACTATAAAGTGTAACATGATTAATAGTTTTCGAGTTGTAAGGAAATGTCATTTATCCCAGAATATTCAGCTATTTTAGGCATACCGAGAATTCTACTATTACATTTGAATTCTGATATTATATTTTAGGAATGTAAATTACGTACAATCATTAATTATTTTTTAATTTAAAATAAATTTTATTTCAAAGGAATTTTTATTTAAGGAATTCTAAGTTTAAATGTGATGAGTCTATTAGGTTTGATTTCTTTGAAATAATTCTTTATTTCTTTATTCTTTATTCTTAATTCTTTATTTTATCGATTTATAATATTAACTTAATACTTAATATTTACTTCGAATTGCTTAATTTGAAAGTAAATTATTGAGATTTCAAATATTGAAATTTAAATATGACAATTTCAGCCGATATTTTTTCTATATAAGAGGATTCTTCCGAATAGATTTTAAAATGAAAATTTAGAGAATAATTGCTGCTGTCTCTTTCGGAATTGCTTCAAGATTCATAAATTTATGTATCTTTGTGATACTTTGAATTTATGTATCTTGTGATACTTATTCAACTTTTCGATTCATTAACCTAATATGTTGAGTGCCATGCCGGTCACTGATAATCCCATATGACGTAAAGATGAAATTCGTGACTAAAATAATATTTGTATAATTAATTTAATCCTCTAAAATAATAAGCGTACATATGAACATATAAATATTTTTGTTGTTAATTATATAAATTTAAATACATATAGATAAACAAATGAATTTAGTATTCACTTAATATTCGATTTCATAATCATAATACGTATAGGATAGGAAATTAGGGAAAATAGGAAGGAAATTAACAAAATATATCGCATCACAAATCGTACAATTAGATATACATGAATGCCGAGCGAGGCTGCAAAAGTGATTTACCTCTCTTTTCAAATTTTATTTTGCGGACTAAAAGGGATCTTCGGCTCTCTCGATTTATCCTCTGAATAGTTTCAGCAGCGGAAACGACGAGTCGCCCTATGATTTGGAGTCGTAAAGGGACGAGACTCATATGTGCGTTCGTTAATTATCAGCGGTACATATCGAGAGAAGTTAACTGACTCTCGAGGAAACCCCTCCCGTCCCGCTTCCGCTTTACCTTCATGGTCCATTCATCTTTTCCCTGCTACGCGCCTCTAAACCAGTTTCGCCATCTTCTTGACGATCCTCTCACGGCTATTAGGCACTTCCTGCCCATCCTGAGAACCGAACTCGTTTTTACCACCCTCCTCTTTCGTCCTCCGTTGTCCTCCTCTTCCCCTCCCTCCGCTCTTCCTCGACCGATCGCGGTGAAGAGTTGTCCCGTTTGATCGGTTTTTCCAAGTATAGATACTCTATCGTTCGGAAATAGACGACCCCTACGATTTCCGATCGATAACGTAGCTCATAGTCTAGCACAGTAAACAGATGTGAAGAATTCTAAGTATGCTACATACATTACTACCTTTAAGACTTGGTAACGCACAATATGGCCAATCCGATTTACTATTTCGTCCTTCGCATAATACGCACGCGCGTGCTTTTGCTTACATATGCTTTCTTGCCTAAATGGACAATCCCTCGAAAATATTTACAGCCAGTGAGTCTCTTGGGTCCATCAGTCTGTTCTTTCATCTCTACCAAGTCAATTCGAAATAATATAATCGGCATTTTTCACATCCTGTTTTCCAGTTCTATAAGAGCAAAGGAAATAGAAAATCGAATAGTGATTTTTTTTTCTTCAAGGATTTAACGCGCGTTTAGTTTTAGCGAACTCGTTTCGGAGAGGTAAAAAAATCCTTAACTACATCATTTTGCATTGCGTCAAATTAAATAAAAAAGACATGCGAAGCAGTCCGATTCAGAGCGAAGCATTTTAGCAAAACGTGCAGAGACATCACATAGCTAATTGCGAGTGTAGGTATGATAAAATAATAATTGGTAAAGATAACAGATAAGATTCTTTACGGTAAATTTATCTGGATCTTCGTCGAACAAATCTAATCGTTATTACTCTTTGTTTGGAATTCCCACCGATGGCTCAGCGATGTCAGTGGTATCATTCACGATGATATCTTTGATGTTTCCATGTGTTGCAGAGGAGAGACCGAAGGTGACGAATCTGCATCGGAAGCCAAGCAGTGCGTGGCGTAAAGAGCGTAGGAGAGATCCAATACAGAGCGAAGCGTTAGATATGTCGGCAGGAAGGACGCATCATCATCATCACAACAGACCGAGCGTAATCGTTCCTACGACGCCGCAAGCTGGTAAGTAATCGTCAACCCCGTAATATCGTTAGAACCCTTAAAAAGAAAAAAAATAGAACAAATGTAAGAGTTAAAATAAAATTTAGTGCTAGATAAAATATTTATTAAAAATTCTATAGATAAACGTATCGTTTTAACTTTTGTACAACTGGTAATGAAAATTGATGATAATGAATAGAATTCATTTTTGATGAATTTTGATATTACACAAAAGGAGATGCCTGAATCTTCTTTTCGTTTATAGAACTCCACGAATAATAAAGAATGAGAGTTTAATTTTAATTCGTATAGGCAAATGACAAAATTTATCATTCAAGAAAAATGGAATAAAAGCTATTGAACATCAAAATGTAATTACAAAGTAATTGAATATTGAAAATTTAGAAAATCAAATTAATCTTGCGACAGCAAATCAGAGCAAATATCTCTCATAATTTAAAATAATCAGATTTTAATTTAATTTTTTTGCATTATTATAACATGAAATATCTTATATAAATACGTGAAATATTTTATATAATACATCTTGAAATATTTTTACTATTTTAACGGATGATCCGTCGATGTGTCGAATCTTTAGTATTTCCCGAGACTCCATTGTCCACAGGGATGTCTATGTTTTATGACAATGTAACGCCTACTGCACCGGTATGCTGTGCAGATGGTGAAGTATTTCTCAATGGGAGTATACAGTTAATTCCTGCAGTGGTACCGTAACATTCCTTCATATTAGCATACTTTTCTGAAATATTCATCTTGGTATTAATTACAAATAAAATAAAACTTAATACCAGATATTCATATCTTTATTTCAATGAATAGATTTATCATTTATATAAAAATTGATTTTTTGAGGATATTAAAAGTTAATAACGGTTTCATTTATCTAGATTATTAAATATTCAAACACGATAAATAAAGATAAAATAGCTCGTATAAAATAGACAATAAATATGTAAAAAGCCGACAAACGAACAAAAATACGTATCTTTTAAAATAATAATAAAAAAATAATATATAATTATGATATATATCCGATTAGCTTTCTTGAAACATTAACATTGAAAAAAACATTTTCCACATTTGTAGATTTTTATGAAAAATTGTTCAACTTACTCGTATATTCTCGATGTTATATTCCTTTAAGTCTTTTTTTTTTTAAATGATATCTTTTGCAATGTATTAATTTTTCTTTAAAATGAAACCTAAATTAAAATTTTATTATAAATAATGGATTGAAAATAACGCCATTTAATCAAGGCGGTTTTTATTCATTCTTTTATTAATTAAAATCTATTAACGTACGGTAATCGAGATGAAAGAATTTGTCCATTGTCCTTTTTCAGGCATCACAATCGAGGACACTGCTATGACGCCTACGCCGACGACGATGCCCACCGCAGCCTCAGGTGGACAGAGGACCGGTATCAGGACGGCAGGCGGCGTCAGCGATCCTGCGATCGACGAACACTTCAAGCGATCACTGGGTCCGAAAGAATATGCGGCCGTTTTTAACGCTAATACTACGGACAAAGAGACTGGCCTGAGTGGTAAGTATAAACAGACAGTATTTGTTAAGTATTTGTCCCGCATGCGAGGTGTAAAGACGCAACACTCTGGATTCAGCATGGACCGGCCTTGGGTGATCTTCCATAGTCCAGGCTGGACCAATCTGGATCCAGTCTCGTCTTAGCCTCGTCCCGATCTGGACCAGTTTTAAGCGTTCTTTGCACAGTTGACGATCATTTCGCGAAAGCGCTCGGCGAGACATGGACAAGGCTTCAGGCAACCAATCGAAACAACAAATCCACCTAACCACCGGACAGACTCGTCAGAAATCTTGTCATCTTACTCGCCGTCATCCTCACCGTCGTTTGATGACCGTGGTAATCTACTCGGGTGAAATCGTTCCATCTCGCTAGTAATATATTAACGATAAGTCATTGTTGATAAGAATTAATCGACTGTATTCGATGAACCTGCGTCCAAGTAACGCTGTAATTAAGGGATTTAAATTAGAATAAAGAAAAATAAACGCGCACGCTGAGATCTCGTAAGAATATAGGATCTTTAAACTTTTTGTTTTTTTGATATTTATTGATATTTAATATTTTGAGTAAAAATTGAGTAAAAATATCTAAAATAAAAATTAATAAACTAAATAAAAAATTAATAAATCAAATAAATATTATTTGATATTATTTTCAAGTATGTTCTTAAATTTATCGATTTGCTATCTGCATGTAAGCATTTTTTATAAGTGAAACTTAAGTCTGTAATTTCTCTTTATTTACTTATAAATTATAATTTGAATTTTCACACATCTATTTTTTCCTTTTATTAAGTCTTACAGAATTCGTAATTATTCGTAATTAGACTTATACATTTTTTTCACTGAGCCTCTTTCTTAAACACTTTGTTTTAATTGATACGTACCGCGTTGTGTAAGGAGGTATCAAGTGTCCTTGATCTTCTCGCTTTTCAACCGGGTGCTCGTTGTCGTCGCTTTTTCCTCAGATACGCGTATAAGAAGACATCAAGAAGGTTGGCCCGTTGCATGCTGTATTTTGTATGGGCGTATTTAATATTATTGTATATAGGCACATATTTCTTTACTATGCCATCGCCACAGTCATTACCGTATAGTTCCAAGTTGTGTATGAATATAAAGTTATTTATTATAATGTTTCGTACTTCCTCGCAAAGTAATAGGTTTATATATATAGTATGTGTATGTAATATTTACGTAAGCGCTCGACTATATGTACACCCATGAAGAACAATGGTACGTATCCTCCTAGTGTAAATAATTTCAATAGAGTCGGCTATTTTTGTAATTCAATTGTGTATAGTTTGTCAAGTGAATGTCCGATTGTCAAATTTTCATGAAATTTTCTCTTCTAATTAAATTAAATCAGACTATTAATGAAATTAATTTATGAATTAATTAAATTCATTAATGAAATGAATTTATGAATTAATTAAATTCATTAATGAAATGAATTTGATCATTTCAATGAATGATTAAATGAATTTCAAAATTAGAAATACTAAATATTGTTTTACAATATTTATTCACATATGTGTATGGTATGGATATCCTATGGATTCATATATGTAATAAATAAACAAGATAATTTAAATACTTACGAGATTTAATTCGTGACAGCTAGGGGAATCGGATTATTGTTCATGGATGCATATTATAATAATAACCGTTATATCGGAGAAATCCTCGCGATAAATGAGACATACGGGAGGCGAATAGAAAGAACTGTAATTTAACAAAGCAGGACACCGCGTTAGATTATAAATATCATATAAGTATCACGTCGTTGAGCCGCATTCGAAACTGTAAAGATAAAAACAAACGATATGTACAGGCAAATGATGATGACAATGATGTATGAGAAAGATTAAACGAAAAGCTGTTTAATTATTTTCACAGCGTGCGATAATTTCTATCCTGTTTTCCGTGATTCTTCGATAGATGAAACGCAGGAAACGATCCCGCCTCGCTGCAGACGCTAATTGCCGAATGCTAAGAAGAGTAGTACTGATTTCTAATGGTGCTAGGAAGTCCAGCGCATACCCCAGCACGCACAGAAGTCAGTACCTCTACCTTCTTTATATGCGAAAATGTTTTCTATCGTTTTATTGTTCTATCGTTCTATCGTTTTCTATTGTTGAAAAGTATGCTATACAAATGAACAGCGAGCTTTTCAAGCAGGAATCTTCCCAAAATCTCCCGAAATGATACTTCGT